AGCCGAGACTGAGACAGAGGTTTTCTCTGTTATGTGAATGAGGTCCCACCTCAGTAGGATGGGTTCTAACCCTAATCACTTCTGAGCTATAAAAAGAGCAGATGAGACCCGTGTGTGTGTGTGCACACACACACACACACACACAGGGAAGCTACATGCCACACCAGGACCATCTACAAGCCAAGGAATCAAGGAACGCCCAGGGCTAATAACAAGGGCTCAAGCGTAGCAAGGATGGGGAGGATGGAACCAGGTTGCTGGAAGCAACTTGAAGGCACCTAACGACAGCAGCAAAAACAAGGAAGGAACCAACACAGCCAGGATCCTGATGTGGATGCTCAGCCCCTTGACTTGTGTGAAATAATGAAGTTCTGTTCATGAAAGCCAGCCCCTTGTGGTATCCGTGTGAGAGCAGCACGGGGAGACTAAGACAAGGGCTGTTTCCATGACCTGTAACCAGTGTCCCCCACAGTTCACCAGCCCTGCCCCTCTCCCTGCAGGGCTCACAGGGACCAATCCATGGAGTCCCCGCTCAGCCCTCCTTCCCACGTACCCACCTCCCCCCGCCCCCGCAGGTGGCTTGCTCCCTCCTCCCAGACCCTCACCACTTGGCCAGCTGAACGAGGGGGTGGGTTGGGCCATGCACCAGCCCCATGATGGAGTAGCCGTAGTTGTGCCAGTCGATGACAAGCTTGCCGCCACAAAGACAACACACGAGCCAGCAGACAGCGATGCCAGGCAGACCCGGGGGGTTCTGGAAAGAGGCGGACGTGAATCAAGAAGACGAAACCCAGACCAGAGTCCACCACAAGCAGCCTGAGGACAGCTGCAATATACGTGGGAAAGGTTCCTGATAATCAGTAAGTGGGACAAAGATTCCCCCTCCCAAAGTCAAACAAGATAAAAAAATGTCATAAAAGAAACAACTGGCCAACCTGAAGAGTCCCAGACCTCTGGGAATCCTGGAGATAGGCAATACGGAGCTACCATTTTTACCACTGGAATCCACAAACTAAAAAAACTCTAGCAGGTTCTATCTAGTGGTGATGGGTGCAGGGGCAGAGATACCTCCAATTGGTGGGTGACAGACTGGGCCAACACTGCTCTAGGGCTAGCCAGTGACACAGGACAACCTCTTAAAAGTGCAGTGTTGACTAAGCAGTTCCATCGCTAGGAATTTGACCGAAGGGAGAAACGGGGTCCCTGCAAAAGACGTATGTTCAGCGATGCTCTCAGCAGTGCTCTTTGGAAAAGTGAAAAATTCAGGAAGAGCCTGAGTGTCTGTTAGGATGAGGGTGAATGAATACATTAGAGCACTGGAGTATGATTCCGCCAATTCAAAGAACGAGATGCCTGTGTGTGCAGAAAAGCAGCAGTGTACACCCAAGATCCCCACACGGGTGTTCAGACGAATGCTTGCACGCCGATGTTCACAGCAGCCCTGCTCAGGTAAGACGTGGAACCAACCCACTGACAGAGGCCTGGATAAACAGCGTCCAGAGAACCCTGAAAACATCACGCGAAGTGCAGTACAAAAGGCCTCATACCCTACAGTTCCATTCATGTGCAAAAGGCCCCAGGTGGTACAAATGACTTGTGAGAACCGAG